TGTGTGTGTGTGTGTGTGTGTGTGTGTGTGTGTGTGTGTGTGAGAGAGAGATTAGCCTAATGATCATTATAATTTGCAATTACAGCTCAGTTCCTGTGTGTGTGTTTATCTCACCATTCAACATAATAATCACCACCATCTGGTGTGTGTGTGTGTGTGTGTGTGTGTGTGTGTGTGTGTGTGTGTCTTTCTGTCTTTCTGTCCCTGTGTGGACACATATCATTCCAAGCTGTTATGGGGACGTCTGTGCGTTGCAGGGACATTAAGGCGGTCCTCACAACTTTAAGTAAACAATTAATCTGCTGTTTAACATGCTGAAGGTTCTCAGTGACGTGTCGCCCTCTGAGCTGATGTGTAGTGATGATTTTACAGTCACGAACTGATGCTCAGTGATAATCATCAAAGATCTGCGACTGTAGCCTCCTGATTTAATAAAATCCTCTAAAATCCACCTGCGGTCAGAATGGTGGGGGATCAAAGATGACTAAAATCCCTCTAAAATCAGACAGCAGTGTAATTTCTAGCATCAACACTGAAGCTTTAATCTGAAAACTCTTTTTATTGGTGCAACCTGAACAAACAGCACCATAACTCATCTGAAAGGCAGATTTCCTGAAGACGTGGTGGAGGCATAGTGGCTGTTAGTCATTAGCATCGCACGACTCACATCACATGTCATGAGGACAAAAACCTCACACAGCAAAATGACTTCATCAGCTAATGTTACATCCTCACATTCTCAGATTCATGCGTGTAGCTAACTTACAGCTAACTTAGCATTATTGCTAATAACTCACAGATGACTTCAGCAGCTAATCGATGACGCTAACCTTTGTTTAATGTCACGCAGTATTGGTTTTGGCCACGATCAGCTTGTCAGTCACCTGTGAAGCTCAGCTGGTGTCAGAGGTGCTGTTTATATCAGTAAGAGGAAACTGGAGTTCAGTTCTCCTAAATCAGTAGAAGAATATTTGTGTTTTTATTAAATATGTTGGCGGAGGTTTGCTCCGAGCTGCTCAGAAACAAAGTCGCTGAATCTCCAGATAATCCGCTCAAAATGAACCAGCCCTTCATGAAAGCCCTCTGAGTCTCTGAGCTCACTTCATACTCACATGCTGCACCCCTGAAGAGACGGAAGACTCTTCATCATACATGATGATGACACGAGTTTGTGTTGTTGACACTGATCACTCTGACATTTACAGTTCCCATTAATCTGTCTTCATCTATATTGATTTAAAATGTCAGTGTTTAAATGCCAAACAGTGTCTGACATCAGAAATCACTCAGAACCGTTGGCTCTCTGAGCTTCGCTGGGACTTCCAGCTCTCTGTTACTGTGCTTCCCTCAGAGGGGCTGTAATGTTACCAGCAGTGCTGGTTGCAATGCATTACTGTAATCACATTACATTTTTCAGTAACGTGATATAGTTACAATTATGTAGTTACTTGCATTATAAAAGTTCTTTGGTTATCTGCACGCTGGGTCGATAGACACAGAAATTCTTTTCTTCCTGCTACAATCAGCTGATTTCAGTTCATGTGCATGAAGAATGAAGAGTGTTACAGCTTTAGAAGGGTGGACATTAGCGTTGTTTGTATTGTGCAGATGGAGAAGAGCGAGATAGTAAAGTGCAAACGGCCTCAGAACAGAAAAAGCTGCTTTATACTGCTAACATCTGCACAGACAGCTTGCTAACACTAAGCTAGCCAAGCAGACTCCAGCCCAGCAGCCAGAGCCTGAGCTTACACAGCCTGTGGTGATGATGATGATGATGATGCGGCCTGTTTCTACCTGTTCAGGTTTCTACAGTAAAATCACCATGGCAACCGCTCTGAAGTCAAAGAAAAAACAAAGAGAAGTACAAATGAAGTTAGTCAAAAACACCGACGTTCGGTAAGAGCGAAGTGTAAATTGCATTAATAAGTAATATGTATGTACTGTGGCAGTATTTGACTGAAATGCAGAATCCGTGCGTATCAGCAGCTGACTGTCATGTGTCTGCGAGACGCAGCGGCGTGAACAGACGTCTCCTCTGTCCCACGCTCGGGTTGGTCTCATGTTCAAATGTCAGCACTGCAGGGCAAACTTTGTTTTCCACTCTGGCTTTGATTCAACGGCTGTGATGGAAACAGAGAGGGCAGCCATTACGAGTGAGCACATGACCCCGTGTAACGTGTTAAACCCGCCATGGAGTCACAAGCTGTGCAGATGACAGAAGCTTCCACAAAGACCGAGGAACGAATTCTGAGCATGTGAACACTGCAAAGCGTCTCTGTCTTCAGTTATTATTGTTGCTGTAGCAGACGGAGGGACACAAACTGACGTGGAAGCCTCACAAACTGTTCTGGCCTCTGCAGATAATTTCACCTTCATGACAGCTGTACGAGGGGAGAATGTTTGTATATGTCACCTGTATGCATCATTATGGGCGTGGCCTCCTTGTCTGACAGGTGGCTGTAATGCAAGGCGAGTTTATTTATATAGCACAATTCAACAGCAAGGTGATTCAAAGTGCTTTACAGAGACATTAAAGAACAGAAACAAATAAAAAGCATGATTTAAATTTTAACCTTAAAAGTAAAACAGTGCAGATTTGGTGCTTTATTCAAATGCAGCTGAGAACAGGTGAGTCTTCAACCTGGATTTAAACAAACTGAGTGTTTCAGCTGATCTGAGGCTTTCTGGGAGTTTGTTGCAGATATAAGGAGCATAAAAATCATCAAAGACCCCAGTCACCCATCACATGGACTCTTCACCCTCCTGCCCTCTGGGAGGCGCCACAGGAGCCTCCGGACTAAGACCACCAGGTACCGGAACAGCTTCTTCCCCACAGCTGTCAGACTCCTGAACTCTGCCTCCTGACATCTGACCCACGTTAACACATGGACTGAACACACACACACCCACAATGGACAACTGTACCCTCAAACACACAATAATAACATGGACTGAACCACCACTCACAACCACCAGCACTTTATATACCTCTGTAGAATTATATCTCACTTATCTTAACTGCACTACTGTATAGCTCTGTGTAAATAATCATTCTGTACATTCAATAATCTTTAATCCTACAACTGTTTACAACTTGCACAGTTCCCATTTCTGTATAGCTGTATATCTCAGATTCTGTATAGTTTTTCATATTTATATCCTGTACATAGCTTGTACTCACTACAGCCTGTACATACTTATAGTTATAGAATATTCACAACATACTTCATACCGTGTACATTATAACATACCATAATAGACCCATTTCTGTAATATACTTACATATCTATATTATTGCTAATATATATTGTAATATATCTATATCACTAAAGCACTTCTGGATGGATGCAAACTGCATTTCGTTGCCCTGTACCTGTGCATGTGCAATGACAATAAAGTTGAATTCTATTCTATTCTATTCTATTCTAAAAGCTGAATGCAGCTTCTCCAGCTGCTTGCTGTTTGCTAACATGACATCATGTGACCAATAACATGGCTGCTGTGAGGTCAAACAGACCAAGAAGAAGAAATTCAGGGTTTTGTTTGGATGTTACTGAGCACTGATTCATACTCCATCTTTGTGTGTGTCTGTGTGTGTGTCCACTCATATTCTGTTTCCAGTGTGTCACTGCAGCTAAACAAAGCACTTTTTCTATTTTACACAACTAAAAACACACACACTGACCCGTGGATGATCCCAGACCATTGTGTGTTTCTCTTCTTCAGCTGAATCCCGATTGGCTGAAGTTTTCAGGTGGCAGTCAGTGTGCGTGATGGATGAGCGGCAGGGGAGGAGACGAGACTACGTCTCAGTGTCTTCAGATGCCCTGGAGTCGTTTGAGTTTGGATTCAGATCTGTTAGAAGCAGAAACACGATGCTGAGGAGTCCCTCACTTACAGAGCTCTTCCAACATTTCATATTTTGTTCTGTGGCGAGGAGCCAAGGCAGAGGTGGTTAAAAATCCATCTAGGAGGAACCCAGATATTCGGTCACGCTGAACTGTTTACGCGAGGTTTTGGTTGGTGGTTAAAATCCCTGCATGGCGTGGAGCTGACCGGGAGACGGCTCCTATAATTCAGGGGGTGTGTCCATCAAAGCCTTGTGTTTGAGTCTTTCGCCGTCCTTTCATGATTACTCAGACGTCGTCTGATGACATCATAATACTACAGGGCCCTAACAGCTGAGCAGCAGCTGTGTGAGTCGGCAGAGTCAGGCAGGTTAGAACACAGCCTATTAAAGAGCCTACATTTCCCACAGTGCACCTGTCCTTCGCGAAGCTGTTTCTATATCAGCCAAAACTCTGAGTCAGAAAACAAGAACACAAGCTGAGACTGACAGTCTTTGTTCTCTCTCTCTCTCTCTGTCCTGCTATGTGTGACTGTCTCTCGCCCAGAGGGGAAGGTGGAGGTGACGAAGGAGGGGATGAAGCTGTGCACGATGGGACCGGGCAAAGTGTTCGGAGAGCTCGCCATCCTCTACAACTGCACCAGGACGGCGACGGTGCAGAGTGAGTACTGACAGCCTGATGTTGGTCTTCATACCTGACCTCAGGTCAGTTCAGTGCAAAGACACAGAGCAGGTGAACTCTGACCTCTGACCTGTACACCCAGATGAATCAAATATTAGCCATGGTCTAGTTTTCATTAGAGATTTAGATTAGATAGAACTTTATTAATCCCTCGGGTGGGTTCCTCTGGGAAATTCGATTTCCAAAAAAGCACAGCAACGACCGAAGTTACAGAGTTACAGAATATTATATA